CGTTCGTGCTGGTGATGATAAGCACGTCGTCGAGATACACGCGGACGAAGGGAAGATCACCAAGCATGCGTTGCATGCGGCGTTGAAATTCGTCGGGGGCCGTGCAGATACCCATGGGCAGTCGCAGATACCGAAACTTTCCCCATGGTAGCACGAAGCAGCAGACACGCGAGGATCGTTCACCCAGGACGATGGAGTAGTAGACCATGTTCATGTCGAGCGAAGTAACGAAGACGAAGCGCTTCAAACCTTGTAGCAACTCGGTGATTTTGGGCATTGGGAACGGATGGCGAACGATGAGTGCGTTGAGGCGCCGGAAGTCAGTCAGAAAGCGTGCTGTTTTGTCCTTTCTTCGGGGAAGTAATATTGGTGTGGGGGGGCCCCCGGGCTAATGGAATCTAGGGGAAATGTATTCCCAGTCGTTCGAGTCGGGGCGAATCTCTCTCTTGAATGTGGTTCAGATAGGCCTGTGGGAAGTCCCAACGGTCCAGCATGTTATGGCTGCGGCTTCTCCTTTAGCTCAAACTCGTAAGGTTCACCGGGCATGGTACCAATGGCGCCCTGGTTGAGATCATCAAACTGAAGTAGCAGCTGGCGAAGTTCGGCTTGCTCTGGCTCGGTGAGGTGCACAGGAACGCAGTCGTCGACGTTCACTTTGGCATACTTGGCGTCCAGAATTTTTACCATACGTCGTTCAGCGTCTTGGAAGCTGGTAGGAATCTCGAACAAGTACTTCTCGGCGGCAAGGTTGACTCTGGATTGCATGGGCACTTCGAGGTCATCCCATTCAATGGTGCAGTGATCGAAGTCGAGCTTCATCTTGAGCGCCAGGATCAAATCACGGCCGATTATGAACTCGTAGCCATGTTTCTCTGCACCAGGAGCAGTCACGTAGAAATTGTGTTGCACGACGCGGTTCGTAGTAAACGCGGGCAGCTTGAAGTACAGTGGGGCTGTGCCAATAGTTTCGAAGCGACCTCCTTTTGTCATCCACTTGGTCGTGAAGCGGGATAGTTGGCGTTCGTCGGGAATGATATCGTGAGAGCATAGCGACCGCGATGAACCGAAGTCGGCTAGCGCGCGCACAAGTCTGGTAGCGCCGTTAGGAAGCTCTACTGCCACGAGAAGCTCTGTCGTGACATGGTTCTTTGCACCTGGGACTGGTGCAGGCGTTGTTGCCGTTGACGGAGGCTGGACGTCCGTCTTGGCTGAAGCGGACTCGATGTTGTAGCATGTCTCGGTCACGTCCATGTCAATGAAGTTGGCTTCTTCTGGAGCCTTGTTCTTTGCGCGGCACTCGTTCGTGTTGTGGCTGTGCGACTTGTGGTGTTCACACCATTTCGTCTTGGCGTCGTTGGGCTTCTTGCTGTTCCCGTTGCCACCTTGGCCACCACGTCCACCGTTCGACGGTGCAGACCCGCTACCCTTGTGGTTGCGGCGTCCATGCTGCTGCATTCTGCTGGAGACCTCAGCCTCCTCGAGCTGTCGGAAGTACGCGACAAGCTCTTCAAGCCAATCGTAGTCCTGACCACTTTCATCATACTTTTTCTGCCACGACGACGGCATGTTGCACTCCACGATTTCTCGGAGTTCGTGGCTGGTCATTCGGTTATTTGGTGGTGGTAGGAATTGGATCAACTCGTTGATCTGGTGGAGGCGAGCGACGTAGTCCTCAACAGTCATATCTGCCGGCTTGGCGGTCTCCCGTAGATACTGTCGAATCTTGCTCGCTGGGCGTTTAGGAAAGTACATCGCGGTCATACGTTGAAGGGTTTCATCGAAGTGCTCGACGTCCTCGTTGCCCATGCCGGCGGAGTTAACGGATTCAAAGCGAACCAAGGCTGCTCCGCGTAGCAGAATGCGAACATTCTGGTATAGCTCTGGAGCCTCTTGCCAGCCCTTCAGCTTGCGGTTGTACTCGAGCTGCTTGCGCCAGTTCAACCACTCTTCTCCGTTGCCGTAGTCGAAGTGTCGAATGTTCAGCGACACATGGTCGTTGGCGTCGTGTAAGTTCGTACGCACACGGTACGTGACGAACAGGTCCCGCTGGTGCTCATCGAGAGCCTTGACGGTGGTCTTGAGCGGAATGAGGGGAACATGGCCTTTGAAGGGAGCGACGAATTGAGCTACAATATGGCCATATGCTGGACGCAGTAAAAAGAGAGACTGAGTGAATTTAAAGCTTTAGTGTTTAGCTAAGCTGTAGCAACTACATCTCCTAGCTCTTCTAGAACATCAAATCGTATGATCGGCGTTCTAGAACGCAGCGAGCATTCTAGACGATGGCCGTTCGGGATACGGCAATTTCAGACTGAACCAGTCCAACAGTAGCCGGCCCACAGTCCGGAGGTTGTCGCACCGCTTATTTACATGTCTGCTAAGGCCATCGGCAGCGTCTAGTCGCCTGGACTTATAAACTGGGAGCGTCTGAGTGGCCACAGAGACGAGGACGCATTTGAGGTGGTGAACGACGGCATTTCCGTCCTTCAGGAAGGAAACTACCAGATCA